AAGCTAATAGAATCCTTGGCTTCATATCAAGAAGCATAAATAATAGGAGTCCTCAGGTTGTTCTTCAACTCTATACATCCTTGGTTAGGCCTCATTTAGATTATGCTGCACAGTTTTGGTCACCGTATTACAGAATGGATATAAATTCTCTGGAAAATGTACAAAGGAGGATGACAAAGTTGATCCCATGTATCAGAAACCTTCCCTATGAGGATAGACTGAGGGCCCTGAAACTGCACTCTCTAGAAAGACGTAGAATTAGGGGGGATATGATTGAGGTGTATAAATGGAAGACAGGAATAAATAAAGGGGATGTAAATAGTGTGCTGAAAATATCTAGCCTAGACAGGACTCGCAGCAATGGTTTAAAGTTGGAAAAATTCAGATTCAGGAAGGATATAGGAAAGTACTGGTTTGGTAATAGAGTTGTGGATGAGTGGAACAAACTCCCAAGTACCGTTATAGAGGCCAGAACGTTGTGTAGCTTTAAAAATAGGTTGGATAAATACATGAGTAGATGTGGGTGGGTGTGAGTTAGACCTGATAGCTTGTGCTACCAGGTCGGTTGCCGTGTTCCTCCCTTAAGTCAATGTGACTAGGTTGGGTGCATTGGCTTGGGCCGGTGGGAGACTTGGACCTGCCTCGCATGGGCCAGTAGGCCTTCTGCAGTGTTCCTTCGTTCTTATGTTCTTATGTTCTTAGCTACCGTCGTTAAGACCTGCCTGCAGGTCAAATTTACGGCAATCCACTCTCTGAAGGACTCCTTCATTGTCGTCTGCACAGACGACACGGAAACATCAAAACTAATGAACGACTCTTCAATCAGGACCCTACAAACACAACAATTCACTCTATCCCCGTCTCCATTCTTGAAGTCGAAACGTTCGGTCTTTGTGAAAAGACTGGACAATATCGTCACTTCTCTCTCTACTGAAGCACTGAAGACATCCATTGAGGAACAAAACACCTGGGCCTCGGTAGACAGCATCTCCAAGATCCCCAACGCCTCTTCTATGCTAAAGATTACATTCTCAGACGTCTCCATGGCTGCCCAAGCTCTCTCTGACGGTCTGGCCATCTCATATTACCACATTCACCCAAGTCAAATAAAACAAGAACGTTTCACATACATCTCCCACTGCAGGACCTGCTACTCCTATAACCACACCACCAAGGACTGCCCCATCAAGGATAAGAAGTTTTGTTCAAAATGTGGGGATGATGGACACGATTTCAGATCCTGCACCATTACTACAGCACCAACATGTCTTAACTGCAAGGGTAATAATCATACCCTTGCAGCTAAGTGCCTACTCAGGAAAGAAATCATAGTGAAGAAAACTAAAGTTCTAAAGAACACCTCCAATTCACCGACATACGCTGCAATGACCAAACCACAAACCGACACCACCAAGACTCTACATGCTAAGCTACAGGCACCTTCGACCAGCAACTCCCTCTCTCCACTCCCCGACGGTGCTTCCTCCAAGGTGCTGTACTGCATGGTGTATGCACACCTTGCAAACGCAGCAAACCCCGGCACTTTCAACACCACTATTAACGAACTATTCCGTCTGAACAACATGTCTGCCTTCAATTTTCCGGACTCCACACCTTCAGCAGACATCCTCAAGATCCTTCCCAACGCCCTGAACTTTACTGCACCTGCAGACCTGTCTCCTGCCCAAGCAACTGCTCCTGTAACTTCTATAACCACTTCCACCGCTGACAACGTTGACCTCTACAAAAGCCTCGGTGCTGGAACAGTCAAGTATGCCTGTGAATCACCGCTTTACTTCACACTCACCCAAGTTCTTGAGTTCATCAAGCCTCTACGTTTCACCTTCAGTAACAAGGCTAAATTATACCATCTATCTAGGAGCAGCTTCAAAAAGTTCGAAAATGTCTCCATTGCTAACCTGCCTCCTCAGTTACTCCTATAACTCCCATATGTGTTCTACCCTCTGATGTGACCTAGCCTGCTGCCAGCTACTCAAGATTCAAGACTTCAACTACCACAAGTTCGATACAACAGTCCCTGCTATTCCTGTTCTCAAGTCTGACCCACGATCGCCTTAGCTGCTGGGTTAAGCCCTGGCTCTATTTCTCTGACTAAGAACACTCGTCTCCAGAGCTATTCTTCATCTGTCCCGTCTTCCCCGCTCATCCATTGGGATCTTACCTGATCTTATTTGATTGATTTGACTCCAGGATGGTTTGAATAGACTAATGCAGTGTTCGGAGAAGTGGCAGATGCAGTTTAATATAGACAAATGCAAAGTGCTAAATTTCGGCCAGGACAATAACCATGCCACTTATAAAGTAAATAGTGTAGATCTTAATACTACTGATTGCGAAAAGGATTTAGGAGTTCTGGTTAGCAGTAAGCTGAAACCAAGACAACAGTGTATAAGTGTTCGCAATAAAGCTAACACAATCCTTGGCTTCATATCAAAAAGTATAAATAATAGAAGTCCTCAAGTTGTTCTTCAACTCTATATATCCTTGGTTAAGCCTCATTTAGATTATGCTGCACAATTCTGGTCACCATATCACAGAATGGATATAAATGCACTGGAAAACGTACAAAGGAGGATGACAAAATGAATCCCATGTATCAGAAATCTTCACTATGGGATAGACTGAGGGGCCTGAATCTGCACTCTCTAGAAAGGCGTCGAATTAGGGGGGATACGATTGAGGTGTATAAATGGAAAACAGGAATAAATAAAGGGGATGTAAATAGCGTGCTGAAAATATCCAGCCAAGACAGGACTCGCAGCAATGGTTTCAAGTTGGAAAAATTCAGATTCAGGAAGGACATAGGAAAGCACTGGTTTGGTAGAGTTGTGTATGAGTGGAACAAACTCCCGAGTGGCGTCATAGACGCTAAGACGTTGTGTAGTTTTAAAAATAGGTTGGATAAATACATTAGTGGGTGTGAGTCGGACCTGACTAGCTTGGGCTACCAGGTCTGGTGCCGTGCTCCTTCCTTACGTGGAAATGACCTGACTAGGTGGTCATTGTTCTTGGCCGGGGGGGTGGCATGGACCTGCTTCTCATGGGTGAGTAGGCCTGTTACAGTGTTCTTTCTTATGTTCTTATTTTATTTTTATTTTCAATCCACTGGTGCGAGTTTTATCTTCAGTTGATATTTTGAAATTTTGTTTCGATTAATTATATGACTAGCCGGGCTGTGGCTCGTACGTTGGATTGCGTCCAGCCAGCAGTAACAGCCTGGTTGATCAGGCTCTGATCCACCAGGAGGCCTGGTCACAGACTGGGCCGCGGGGGCGATTACTCCCGGAACTCTCTCCAGGTAAACTCCAGGCTCCTGGCACGACACAGATTGCCTCAAGAGTATATATATATATATATATATATATATATATATATATATATATATATATATATATATATATATAAACACTAAAGTTACTCTCATATCATTTACCCATTTCTAGGTCTAAGAGACAGTAATGTGCTGTATCTCTGCATCACCCCCGGCGGATGATATCCAAATTTGGGCGTTAAAAAAAAAACAAGATTTTTTTCCTGCTTAACATTACATTGTTTTGGTTACATGTGGTCTCGAATTATATGCAATCAATAAACATAAAGTCGGCATTTGATATGCCTTTATAAGTAATAAATAAACCTAAGTATAAGTGGGCTGGAATGGGAAATGGGGTTGCCAAGCAGCACCCAAGCAAATTCTCTCTTAAGTGTGGCAGGTTAGTATATCAACTCCAAGACAGGAAAGATAATGTAAAGTGTGTTGAGGAGAAAAAAAAGCTTCAATCTTGGATACCCTGTCATAGAATGTGGAGAAATTCTGAAATTTGGAATTAATACCACTAGTGTTCACGAGCAGTAGAAAAATGTTTTAAGTCATTTTCGTAGCATTTTATAAATACATGCAGGATATGCTGCAATTAGTAATTGATACTGAAATGGTGGTGAAACTTGCTGTAGATATTGAAAACAGCCAAGTGTAGATTGATATCTACAGTGGCGTGTCAGCTACTTACACTGAACTCTGATAGAAATAAGTCACACTACATTACTTTATTGGATTATCCTAGGTTAAATTATACATGATATTTTATATAAAACAACTGTAAAAAAATAAAATTATATGAGGCCTTAAGAAAATCTTACAAGAAGGGTGGCGCTACCAATAAACTCGCTCGTCGGGCAATATCTAAACTCTGACTCTTGGTTCCTTTACACAACAACTTTTGGTGACATGAAAGCAGGTATAAAAATCTATTCATAATTTCATCGCAAATAAACAGAAAGTTATATACCAAACCTTTGTTGAAATGAAAAAGGGCAGTCGAAAAAGCCTAGAATATTTATTGTATAGCCGTATTTGATAAATTTGTAGGGATGGGAGTTAACTATATTATTAATGTATATTCAAGAATATCTAACAGTAGAACTAGATTTCTGTTTAGGGGAAAATATGGCAGGGAAATGAAATTGGAACTGAGCACATTCCAAGAGAGAGGCGGCAATCCTGTGTTTAATGCTATGGTGAAAAACAGTTGCAACATTCGACTATCCTGATTTGCTCCAGCTGTCCTTCTAGGCTATGTTGATGATGTGCATTACGGTTTACTCTCCATGCTATGATAAAATGTATCTGGGATTGAAAGAAATTAATGCAGAACGTAAGGAAGTATCATTTGTAACATCAGTAGTGAAAATAAAAGCATTAGCATGTTAAGAAGAGTAGAGAGAAATTATAAAGGTCAGATCATTGGCTGGGTACCTAGTAACTATCTTAACGTGTATGTTACGAAGAACAAAGCTTTGATAGCTGGATTAATATATAATTTTCATAATAGGTTAGGGCCTCTAAAACAATGTCATGTGACCCAATAACAGTCACTTAATACCTAGGGAGGAGGAGGAGGAGGAGGAGGAGGATGGTAAGATCAGTCATGTGGTATTAATAATATAAGACTTGACTAACGATGAGGTAACTGTCTCAGGTGAGGAGGGCACCAACGGAGGTGAGAGGTCAACTTCAGACAGCCCTCTACATCATGATGAGGTCCTCGAAGATGAAGTCTTCTCCCCGGCTGTCTGCGATAAAACACTGCCACCCATCCTGCCGCCCCAAGATTTTGTTTCTCACGGTCTTAACACCAGCATCACGCCCCCCACTGCTTGCACCACTGCTACACCCAGCAATGCTTCCGTAACTCACCCAGCTCCTGCACATACTATACCAGCTCCCACGAGGCGTGCCATTTCACCTCGCTGTACAGACTCTGATAGTAATGTGGCTACTAAACACACTGATTCTCGTGAAAACCTGCAGAAACAGAGCAGTCCTTCCCCAGAAGAGTCCCTCCCATCGCCACACATTGCTGCCAAGAGGCCTGGTTAGTGGTATGCACTCTGCTTCACCTTCCAGTATCATACACACACACACACACACATACACTCACTCTTTCAAACTTTCTCTCACACTTTCTGTTACAGCAATCGCAAGAGTTGTCATATGCCTACTTATTCATGAACCTATCACACTGAGTTCAGTCACTTACTAGTTCCCTATACAGATCACTTAAGTATTTTCAACATTAGCTAGGATGTTTCATTAGGTATGCAATATTTGAACATCTGTCTTCTTTATCTCAATTATTATTCATTATACAGGTACTTATATAATTACAATTCACCGTTATCATTCAGATAACTGTCTTTCTTAATAATAAAAGCTATGTAAATATGATAATGGGAAATTGGAAACAAATAAAAAGAATCTGGTAAATGATTAACTTGGCTATCATCTAAATTTATTATATTAAAATCACAGGCATTTCACACATTGACTTCTGAGCCATAACAAATCGGGACTTGGTAGAAGGTACTGTATATTTTAGTGAAATGCAAATAAATGACAACATCAACAGCCCAAGCCCTCCCGTGCGTAAGTCATCTGTCGCCTCAACTCTGCTTATCCATACTACGCTACATCCTTGATCACCACCGTCCTCAAACACCTTCATAACTGACTGATGTTATATAAAGACAATTGTAACAGAGGAAAACTTTATTATATAACGTCAAATAAAAGTTTGCTCTGCTAAAAGTGTCTTTATATTACTCTCTTATAGAGTCACGGTATATTAAATTGTGATAGTAGAGGGCACAGTTGGGTAAAAGAAAGGAGGCATAGTGAAGACAGAGATAGCAGTAATGCATAGTGTGGATATGGAGGCGCAGTATATGGCGACAGTGTAGGCTGGAAGGCCCAGTAAAGATAGCAATAATGTTATTGTGCTTATAATCCTCTTCAGGCTGCTATTAAAAAATGTAGAAAAGCCTAATTACTCTAAGAAGAGACAGTACGTTTAGTGAAAGGTGAACTAATGATTGTTTTGTTTTGTGCAACAACGAGGTCATTTGCCTGATATGCAATGAAAGTGTGTATTTCCAAGGAGCGCTATGAATCTCGTCATCAGAAACACTCACTGTTTCAAGAAGTACAGACAAGAAGTGGCTTAGCGCTTCTTTTTGATTATAATAATAATAATACAGACAAGAAAGATTAATTTAAAAGGTCTGTTTCAAGAGAAAAATATCTTTAAAAAAGCGTAGTGGTGAAAATGTATCTGCATTGGGGGCTATTACATAGCTAAATATCTTGCCAAGAGCTACAGACCATTCACCGATGGCGAGTGTGGGAAGTACATGGGAAAAATAATGGAGAAAATATGCCCTAACAAGGTTGCTTGTTCCTGGAATGTAAGTTTATTATTCATCTACAACACCAGGCACGTTGATGACTAGAGAAAAGCTACATAATACACTGACAGAGAAGACAACATATTTTAAACCTTTTTATTCGGCACTTGATGCCCCTCAGGGGGCAAGTCGGTAAGGAATTGAACTTATCCTCAATTTTCATGGCTCGAACCTGATTGCCTACCATTTCCCCAGGCGAAGTATGACCCCTCTTGGTTTAGTGCTCCTCCCCTTAAGGTAATTATTAATAATAATAACAATTATATGGCACAAGATGAGTGAACTACATTCTAGGCACAACTTCTAAATTTTATAAAGGGCACAAATGCTAATTTTGAAATTACGGAGGGGTTGTACGTATTGCAGAGTATGGTAGATATTGCTGCTGTAGAACCCCTCCAGAAATATGTCAAGACACCAGCGAAGGGTTCTTCATCCAAGGAGTTGGAAGTGTCCTTTTCCTTGGGTCGAATCTGACTATCCCATTTCCCAAATAGCTATCCGACTCTTAACGGGTTTAGCGCTCTCCCACGAAAAAAATATACTACTGCAGAAAGTGTATACAAATTGGTGTGAGCAAGTTTAGCTGGGACACTGAAACCTGTGCCCACAGACGGATCTTCAAGGGGCCATCCAGAAGCATGGAAATCACAAAGTGAAATATTTCAAATTTGCGCAAACAACTAACGCTCTCGGAGACATTTACTCTACAAAGAAAACAGTCTGTTGATTTTTTTTAATCCTACCTGCCACATTTATAAACCTAAAGAAGCTTGCTGCAGGTATGTTCAGTCTTCGGCAGCACACACTGTTAACATTTCTTTCAAGGATAAATAGAAATAAGTCAAGCTCTGGATCTGACATACAGATGAACATTTTCACAAAGTTTTAAGACTGTCACAAATATTGAACTTGATGTCAATGCTTTCTATAGTAAACTGCAACCCTAAATATCGCATTAAGATTAAGCAAGAAACTTAAGTGTGTTTTGCATAGCTATTCATGACGCTAATTCTTGTGATTGAACATTAATGAACTGTTATATTCAATAATAGCTTGATATATTTGAAACAGTTATTTTGGTATCAAAATGAGTGACATTTGGAAAAGGTGCACTGATTTTGATTTGTTCTTTCAGTTCATGAGGGCAATATATATTAATTTGTTTTATGTTGGTTATGTTAGTTACTACGTTAATTCACCGATTTCAATGTATGGCCCTCGTCACACATTTGACCATTTAATGAGGCCAGAAAGGTTCTGAGGCTCAGTAACATTGTGCAGCAGTTAGTCTATTGTTCATCTAAAACTACATAGCCTTATACTTAGTAATTGCTTTACACATTGGTAGGATTATTGTCTCTTTCTTAGTCTCATAAACACCCAAGATAACATCTTGCTACTTCTACTTACACTCGGGTCACACTACACAGGCATGTACACGTTATATATGTATTACACACCCATCTGAGTTTTCTTCTATTTTCTTAATAGTTCTTGCTCTCATTTATTTCCTATCATTTCCATGGGAAAGTGGAAAATGCTTCCTCCTTAAGTCATACATGTCGTAAGAGGCGACTAAAATGCCGGGTGCAAGGGGTTATTAACCCCCTTTGTATAAATTACTAAATGTAAAATAAAATCTTTTTCGGGGTCACACTGCCTCGGTGGGAGACGGCCGTTGTTAAATATATATATATATATATATATTATATATATATATATATATATATATATATATATATATATATATTATAAATTATTGAGTTGGTGTGTGTGTAATGTATATGTAATAAAAATACAGTTCTGCCATTGCAGCATTCTAAACCATAGGACTTTGTATGTTCATATGGGGTAAAAGCCTCGTGGTTCAATGAATTTATTCATTTAGAGGAGTGATGCCTTGGCTGTTGATCCAAGGACTTAGCATCGGCTCATGATTATAATAATTCTTAGTATAGCATGTCTGCTCAGATATTTATGCTTGAATATCCATAACAATTGTTGAGCATGATTTGTCTGCGTAGGTGACGCAGGTGATGACGCAGGAGACGACGCAGGCAGTAATATAGCAGGTGACGCCACTGTGGGTCCGTCAGAGTCCTTGGTCGTCTCTTCCCCACTCGAAGCAACTACGTACTTCTCAGGTACCACTTCACATCTCACTCACTTCGTCAGTCATCCTTCAAATTTAATGTTATATTTCCGCTTTATTATCTTGCTTCTGTTAAACAGAGGGTTATTGAACTATCACCTCATTTTCTACACCCCTACTCCGGTGTTTTGAGAAATTTTTATGGATGAATTTTACAAGTACAATCTTGAATTACCCTTTTACCCACATAACGGGAGAACTGACACATCTAAAACAGATTATACTTACTGATATTGATGTACCTGGGAAACATGTGGGGCTTTAGTGACAATGGGTCGCAACAATGTCCCTCTTCAGTGCCGTCTCAGCTCAACTCACACTTCAGGACCTTAAATTAGGAACATATGGTTCCTGAATATTATGAAATTTAAGCCAGTAACACTGGTAATTTAGGTTGTGGACTGTATAGTAATTCTAAAAACCTATGTGACTTTAGTAATTTCTTGTGTATTAGTAATTACAGTGGTTCAATTAAATGGTGATATCTTAGTAAATTATAACCATGGTGATATATCCTAACGCCCCCTATAGGCAAGCAACTAATATTGGCCAGTTACCATCTTCCTTACCTGTTCTGAGTTTTAATTCACACTGGGAGGCGAATATAATTATTGTAATACACGCAGTGGTCAACATCACCACGTCTGGTGTTATCTTCATTTCAGCCATATTATGACCGTTTCAATGTATCTGAACCCTTCCACATACATGTTATATTCACTCATTTCGATGTCCACAATTTTGCCGATGTTCTTTCTATCGGACTCGATGACCCACGATTAAATTCTATAGAACTCGTTAGTTAATGTTTACGTTCCGCCATTTTTCGATGCCTCTCTCAACGCTTATATATACATATATTTAATTATATTCAGTGACATTTTCAGGTGTGTAGTAAATTTTCCTTATCAGAATACTAATTTCCTCTAAATTACATTGATTACATTCTACTTAATTAACAGATAACAAAAATTAAGATGTAGAGAATATAGGTTCTCATGTGGCTTGAACACCTTTTAAAAGTCGCATTAAAGATGCATACCTACATTATCACATAACCTTATTTTCCTGTCAGTTATCGCACAGATTACAGGAAAAATTATCAAAATTTTCCACATGTACCATGAAAAGTTATATGCGATGAAATGTTTACCCTAAATGCCAGTTGAAATTGGAACATGAGATTGCATAAATTTTGTGTGACTCGTTGACCACACACCTAATTGTTCATCAGGCAACAGTACGTTGTGATTATTTGTGTGAAAGTTTTCCTTTCAGTCACCGAGAAAGAATTGATAACGTCTGATAACTTAAATACTCTTGAATCATTATTGTATGCATTATTATAAGCTCAGGCTGTGACTTCTACCTGATATTGTGTACGTCTTACAATCTGTTCTAATCTTTTTTTTTTTTTTCATTTTCTTATTTCACTAACATGTAGTGTGTACCACTTATAAAATTCAAATTATATTTACAACATTAAAAATAAGTATAATTTTTGAAAAGCCTAGATCTTTTGTGCCATTTACAAGTGAGGACAAGTATGTAAGCCTTACATACTCTACATGTATTGTTGCGATTATTTCCTTTTCTAAAACCACAGCAGAAACCCATTACATGTAACTACTAATTAAATTCAAATTTCTATATCCTGACAGATGAATTGCGTACCACTTGAAGAAAACTAATCAAGGCAAGGACATCATCAATTAATGCGCCAATAATATACACTCCAGTTTCAGCAGTGTTTTCATCTCTCACCATCTACAGTCATCACAAGCAGAAGATTGACTGAAGAATACTAGTTTTCTTGAAAATAAATCATAGTATTAACTAAACAGTTGCTAGTGTTTGTAAACTGAGCTGTAGTTGAAACTGATGTTCTTTATAAGTTTTGATACTACAGCAGTTATCATTTGTCTGGGTGTGAAAACATTAAAATATACATCTCATGAACTACAACCATTTGATGAGTACCGAGAGAACTCGGGTAATTTTTTAGCACAATATGTCTTGAATTTATCACTTAGTTCTTCACCAAACTTTAAGTCTGAAGAGGTTTTTACAGTACATGACAATAGATGTTACTGCAAACTTGTATACTTGGAAAAAAGTAAATAACCAGGGCAGGTGTACTTACAAAAACTGGCCACCTGCTTAATAAAAGCACAGTAACGGTATTAGGACATTTATTAAAAATGATTCAATAGGGGCTTTTTCAATCCAGTCAAGATAAATGATGTAGATTGATCATATGCAGGTCCAACGTCAAGTGCTGTATGTGGGGACAGGGACTATATGCTGTCAGTCAGGTTTGGGCAGGATGAGCCTGGCAACAACCTCTGGCAACAAACATCTGTGGTGGTGATCCGTTTGTTCAAAGACAGCCACTTGACAGATTCTTAATACTTCAGTAAGCCACTTTTCTGACAACCCCTCCAACCTTCTTGCCTAGAATAAAAACCATCATAGCAAACATCGCTTCCAGTACTCTCAAGGACTTCGTAACTGAGAAATGCACATCACAAAAGAGATAACTCTGGTGTCTATATCATTCTGTAAGGATGGTACAGGCACCATGGAAAAACTTCTTGATGCTTTAGATGACGCATGAGAAAACAAAAATATCCAAGTCAAGAGACTTTAAATGTCTGAGCTATACACCAATTCTCCCACAACTGTCTATACACCAATTCTCCCACAACTATCTCAAGAACTTCAAAAATGCCAAATGACCATCACCACAGGCACTATTTAGAATCTACTCTTAATGGCACTAACAAAACTACCGTACACAATGCAATTTTATGATTTCGGAGGTTCTCAATAGGCTCATCCTGCCTAAACTAAACAGCCTAATTTATGACCTTGGACCACTATACACTCTCTCTACTGTACATAATTCATTTCTCAGTATTGGACTGATAAATAGCCCATGGCAGGCGAAACATCGCCTGAATAAATTTCATAATTTTTTTTGTTATGCATGTGTTGGTCTTGACCACCATTTGCATCCTACCTACCTCCTAAAATTCCTTGCCGCTATTATAAGAATTTATATTCGTTTTTATTCAGGTGTCCCCTCATATTCTGTGGATGTATTTCAGTCCCCTAAGCTCAGTCAGGCCATGAACACTTAATTTCGCATAAGAGGAATCTTCGTTGTGGTTTGCGGAACGTATGATGATCGTATATAACTTACAAGGAATTTCCGATAGAGACAGAACATCACATAATAAAGAACCCACACAAAGCAAGGGAAAACCCTGTACACACTTCATGTTTGGGCATTTAGTAGGAAAGGTTGTGGAATCCTGCGTTATAAATAAATGGTAAGACGTTACACCAATCCTTTTCTTTTACTAAGTTTTTCTGTCTTGCATTTGTCAAGTTTTTTTTCCCAATCCTTCAAGAGAAAAATGTCAAACAGTCATTGTAGGACGAAAAATATAAGTCGTACCTGGTTGCATGTTTTTGAGTAATGTGAACTAATTTTAGAGACCGTGCAATCAAATATTATAGTGAAGTACAAATGAGGTTAATTATATTTACTGTAAACTACTAAAGCAACTAATTTACCAAAATATTAATGGTATTTATAAATTATACTTTGCTTTTATTATATGGTTTAATAAGTGATAGCAGTAGTAGTTGTAGAGGAGCAGCATGTATGATGAGGCTACAGAGATTAAGCCATAATAATGGATTGGAAAACTGGAGTATATAATAAGTCTTATTCTCCTACAATCACCGAGTGCGTTAGGGGGTAATAGTCATGTAGAAAGAATGGATAATTAGAAATTAGTGAAGAAAGGGTTTAAAGATGACTTTGTAATATCAAAGTTGCCGACTCCATTTTTTTTTGAGAAAATAGAGAGTAAGGCAGAGGTGTAAGATACATCGAGTTAGGTAAGAATATGTATTTAAATAACACACGAGAATTGGCGATTGACAAGGTTTGAATGAATGGCTGGATATTTGGCTTCTTTGGCATATTTTACTCTTGTTATTTGGTACTAGTCCCCTCAAGGGATGTTCCTTGAAGCTAGCTAGGGGCTCTTGATCCAAGGGATTTGAGCTGCTTTCCTCTTTGATCAAACCTGAATGCCTCCTAGGCGCTGTATAACCCCTACGGGTTTAGCTCACCCGGTACCAGTTCATTATGATGATCAAGAGTGGCGATGTCACTCCAAGTGTACATGAAATGAGAAACAAATTATTGATGGTAATGATTAAAACACAAAAGTCAGTGCAAAAAGCTGCGATAATAATGTATGACTATAATGTATAAGGCAAAACCTGTTGGTATTTATTTTAGTGTTAAACAGTTACAAAGAATTAAAATATAATAGATTACATTAATCGAACGTCTGCTTCTGAATTATTGATTCACTATGACAGTGTTAATCACTAGAGGTAGTACGAATAACAGTTGAATTAACAATCTGATAAAGCCACTGCTTTATCAGATTGTCCTATTAGCACATTTTTTTTTTTAACATTGCGATCTCCCACCGAGGTAAGAATTTGTGAATAAAAGGAAACTGGACTTCCGTTTACCATATTGAACTTGTAAGAACAGGCTTACCAAGGTTTGATTACCTCTAGGAAATGTCTTTAAAGGCAAGGTTTATTTATAATTTATATATTTGTGAACATTTAAAGTAATGTGAAGCATGTGCGTCACTTGATGTTATAAAGTATTAATTTTGTGTACACTAGAAGTTATTTTATAAATCGTTGCATGCTATACATTAGTGCCATCCCAGTTATGAGTCATGTAAACAGTGTAGGTCTGTAATACGTTTGTAACATGAATACTAAACTTAAAACTTTCCTGCTACATTGAAAAAAATGAAGTTGGAAACAATGCATGAACAACTGCTTTGGAAAGATTGAATAAATCCAGAAACAAATGTACGTGTGCATCGCGTCATGTGTGTGGCCTTGCTGCACAATAATGCTGTTTGAAGGATAGTGGACTATTATCATACATCAAAAAGTAACTAAATATGCAGGACCCAAGATTTTTCAGCGCCTCCTCTTCATATGAAAAGGAAATTACCAACAAATTTTGCAGTCTTCAAGAGGGACTTGATAAGTTCTCGAGTCGGTTCCTGATCAGCCAAGTCGTGCTGCTGGCTCCACCAGCCTGATTCATCGGTATAAATGTAAATAAGACACACTATGTGGATTATGACATTTTACTTACTATATTTCGTCTATCAGTGATATCTTATTTACATATATACTGTTGGTAAATTCTACCATTTTTTTTTTACCTGACTGACCAGGGTATCATCCAGAAAGTCTGGTTTGAGACCAGGCTTCGGACACGATCATGCCAGATGAAATACAACCTAAATTCTTAAGTGTGTTTATGATTGTATAGTCAAGTACACCCTTGTGGGTTTAGCTCTTAGTTTTGATTTAATCATAATAATATATAGTCTAGTTACTTGAAACAAATTGGGTGAAGTGATCGGTGGCTTCTGATAGTCATGGTACAATGGTGCTAATGTAGTATTTTTTGTTATGTATTAATAACGTAAAAGTGAAGATCATGTGAGGATCATCAAAACTTACACCATCTGACAAACAAAAAATAAATTTCTGATAAATTTATTTATAATATGGAGTGTGCTTTTTAGGATCTCGCAGTCTTTATATAAATATGTGGATAAATTATACTGGAAAAATATATGGCTCATCCAGTGATATATTTTTCTGTATGCCCTTGTCAATTTTTTAAATTAATACAAATATAAATATGTAAACTAAGTGAAGAGGACTTTGACAGAAGTGTTGATAAACAGACCCTGTACTGCTGATAGATGCACAGGTTTTGACGCTTGACAGACCCTGTACTGCTGATAGATATACAGGTTTTGACACTTGACAGACCCTGTACTGCTGATAGAAATACAGGTTTTGACACTTGACAGACCCTGTACTGCTGATAGAAATACAGGTTTTGACGCTTGACAGACCCTGTACTGCTGATAGAAATACAGGTTTTGACACTTGACAGACCCTGTACTGCTGATAGAAATACAGGTTTTGACGCTTGACAGACCCTGTACTGCTGATAGATATACAGGTTTTGACACTTGACAGACCCTGTACTGCTGATAGAAATACAGGTTTTGACGCTTGACAGACCCTGTACTGCTGATAGATATACAGGTTTTGACGCTTGACAGACCCTGTACTGCTGATAGATATACAGGTTTTGACACTTGACAGACCCTGTACTGCTGATAGAAATACTGGTTTTGACGCTTGACAGACCCTGTACTGCTGATAGATATACAGGTTTTGACGCTTGACAGACCCTGTACTGCTGATAGAAATACAGGTTTTGACACTTGACAGACCCTGTACTGCTGATAGATATACAGGTTTTGACGCTTGACAGACCCTGTACTGCTGATAGAAATACAGGTTTTGACGCTTGACAGACCCTGTACTGCTGATAGAAATACAGGTTTTGACGCTTGACGACCCTGTACTGCTGATAGATATACAGGTTTTGACGCTTGACAGACCCTGTACTGCTGATAGATATACAGGTTTTGACGCTTGACAGACCCTGTACTGCTGATAGATATACAGGTTTTGACGCTTGACAGACCCTGTACTGTTGATAGAAATACAGGTTTTGACGCTTGACAGACCCTGTACTGCTGATAGAAATACAGGTTTTGACACTTGACAGACCCTGTACTGCTGATAGAAATACAGGTTTTGACGCTTGACAGACCCTGTACTGCTGATAGAAATACAGGTTTTGACGCTTGACAGACCCTGTACTGCTGATAGATATACAGGTTTTAACTTTGACAGACCCTGTGCTGCTGATAGAAATACAGGTTTTGACATTTGACAGACCCTGTACTGCTGATAGAAATACTGGTTTTGACGCTTGACAGACCCTGTACTGCTGATAGAAATACAGGTTTTGACGCTTGACAGACCCTGTACTGCTGATAGAAATACAGGTTTTGACGCTTGACAGACCCTGTACTGCTGATAGAAATACAGGTTTTAACTTTGACAGACCCTGTGCTGCTGATAGAAATACAGGTTTTGACGCTTGACAGACCCTGTACTGCTGATAGAAATACTGGTTTTGACATTTGACAGACCCTGTACTACTGATAGAAATACAGGTTTTAACTTTGACAGACCCTGAACTGTTGAGAAAAGTGTAAGCTCACAGGTAGGAAGACCTGTGACCTGTACTGCTAAGACAATACCCACAAACTTTGGGATAACTATACATTTGCACTTTCACGTTGGATGGTCACAAAGACAATGCATTGTATTGTTAGCTACAGAGAAAAGTAATAATGCTTTTCATATATAATGCTTACAGCTGATAGATTAAAAAGTCTACTTTTGTATTCGTTATTAATGTCCATATATTTCTACCTCTTTTTTTACTATCATACGAGCTTTTCCAAGAGAAGCGTACATTTTAGATATAGGAATAATTTGTACAGTATATAATTTTCAATGTTTGAATTTTATGGGTGTAAAGGATTACAAATTAATTCAATTTTAAGTTATTGAATTATTCTTAAATAAATTTTTATAAAGCAAATGATATTGTATGTTATTTCATTTCTGTGTTGCCAGTTGTCAAGTTTGCTGAAAGATAATGAATGAAGGCTTTAACCAAACTCATCACTATATGCAAAAACCATTCCTTTAAAACCAAATCAAAGTGGCCAGACCACTTATTCTTAAATTTTTCTTCTTTTTGTTTTCCTCTCCAGTATAAGGCCCCACATACACTCCCTCGGACGTTTTGTCAGCAACATCTTTTGACACAAACTTTTCCTCAGACCGAACCCAATTACCCCGTACTCCTCCCATCCCCATCCCATCCTCCCCATCCCACCTTTTTCCCCTTTCCTCCCCCTCCCCTTTTCCCAGCCCCTTTTTGTAGTCTCTGGGGTCCTCCTTTCTGGCATTACGGTTTCTAGGTAGGGGAAGTGCGCTGGGGTTCATCCCACTCTGTGGGGTCCCTCGGAGGTTGTGTAGTTTGCCATGGAATCTGAATTGTCTGGAGGTGTCCTGCTCCCTTCCCGGATTTCCGAGAAGTGGGCGGGGTGTCCTGCAGATGATGTGTATATCTCCAGAGGCTGCCTGTCGGTTCTGGGAGATGACAGCTGAAGGAGGTATGCTTTGTGGCGAGTTTCCAACCACCCTTTCTTTTGTCCCCTGAGGTGGCTCGGCAGATGTGAGGCTGCTATCCAGAGCGCTGGTTTACTGGCGTGAATAATGTAAATAATGTTTTATTTACAATGGAATATTCGTGGCCTCAGGGGTGATCGGGGAGAGCTTCAAGTGTTGTTCTCCCAGTTTTCCCCAATGTGTGTTGGGTTACAAGAGCCCAAAATTTGTTCAGCTGTTATTCGTCCCGTTTCGGGGTATGCTGTTACATTCTACTGATCCCTTTCCTGATGAATCATTTAATGAGAGCACGCTTGTGTGCGACGGTATACCATATCAGCAAGTCTTTGTTCGGTCCCTGCTACATTATACTGCAGCTCATATTTATTTGCACACATGGTATACAGTTTGCTCTCTATATCTTTCCCCCTCTCGTGCATTCTGTATCTTGGATATTGCGTTTTTGATCTCTACTGCCGCCCATCTTGTTATTAGTTGATTTTAGCGCTCACCATCATCTGTGGGGAGGGTCCCACTGGGACTCTGGTGGTGATCAGTTGGAGACTTATCGCTTCTCATTCTCCATGTTTTAAATACAGGTGCTTCCACTCATTTTGGCTCTCGCACTAAGTCACTCTCTTGCATTGAACTTTCTATCTGCTCCTCGTAAATTGCACTTGATTATGCTTGGTCTCTTCTCCCGGATTTGCACGACAGTGATCACTTTCCTATTCTTCTTACTTATACTACATATTCCCGACCGCCTCTTAGTCCCTCATTGACAATTTGCATGAGTGAATTGGGATGTATACTTTCATCTTACCACCTTTTGTGGGGACCCTCTTTCGTCCTCTATTAATGAGCTGGTGCACCAGCTCATCAATAGAGGACGAATGCCTGCATAAAACCTCAGGCTTTTGGCATGTACACCCAACTATTATATTCCTCTGTACAACCATGTAATTTGTCAAAATAAACATCTTAATCTTAATCTTAATCGTCCCATTGCCTTGACCAGTGTAGTCTGCAAGATGATGGAACGATTGCTGTATAGACGTCTGACTTGGTTCTTGGAGACTCACAATAGTCTTTTTCCTCGCCAATATGGCTTTCACAAGGGCCGCTCTACTTTGGACCCCTTGCTCCACTTAGATAAGTATGTGCGGAATGCCTTTGCTCACAAGCACTCCCTCCTGGCAGTCTTTTTTGATCTTGAGAAGGCATATAATACCACTTGGAGGTATAACATTTTAGACCAAGCCCACTCCTTAGGTCTCTGCGGTAATCTACCAATTTTCCTTACTGCTTAATTATCTGACAGACATTCTCGCGTACGTGTTGGCAGGGCCGGATTACCGCATAGGCAAACTAGGCATTTGCCTAGGGCCCCGTGCATTTGGGGGCCCCGCGGTCCAAGGGGTTCAGGGGCTCATCCAAGACTGCGCACATGGTACAAGTGCCAAGGGGTCCCTACCTAAAAAGTTCAAGTGTTTGGAGAGTAAAATTGATTTTTAAAAATTAATCAAAACAAAAATAAATAATGAAATAAAATAAAATAAAAATAAATGAAACCTAACCATAGATGGCAACACTCAACACGCCTTTGTTTACCTCAGAACAGCTGTGTTTTCCCGCTAATGGGTGAGTATGGGAGACTCCTCTCCAATTTTCTGTAGTAATTACATGTTATCTAGACTTGTACTGTGACAAATTAACTGAAGAAATGTAAGACAGCTACATACTTCGTCATTCTGGATTCACTGATTACAGAATTGGTGAAAAGAAAAGAAATCTACCAGAATCTCAATGGCAAGTTTGGATTTCTGTTCAAAATTACTACTATGCCAGATGCAGAATTGAGAGAAGCTGCATTAAAGTTGCAACAACACCTTTCAGCAGATGTTCAGGACACATTTGTTGAAGAAATAGTTCATTTTTCTGGGTATATGAATCAGATTAAAGCTCCACCTGAAAAATGTGCACCCTCAGCTGCTTTGAAACATTTAAGAAATGCAGGTATCTCAGAAACCTTCCCTAATGTTGACATAGTGTATCACCTTTACCTAACACTTCCAGCTACTAACTGTGAAGGAGAACGTTCATTTTCTGTTTTGAAAAGAGTGAAAAACCAGCTCCGTTCAACAATGAGCCAAGACAAATTGTGTAACCTAGCCTTGTTGACCATTGAGTCAGATCTAACAAGAAATATTGATTTTCAGAATATAATTGATGATTTTGCCAATATGAAATCCTGAAAAAAGTTTATTTAAGAAATGCTTGCGAATATAAACAATTCTTTACTTTCTTGAGTTTATATGATTTGATAGTCTTATGCATGATGCAATGATA